TCTTTCCAGGGGAGGTAGGGGACACTGGGCAGGAGTCCCCTCACCTCACGATGCTGGGCCTGACAGCCTGTGTCCAGGCGCCCGAGGTCAGGGCAGGTCTTGCGAGGGCAGGTGGTGGAGCCCAGATCCCCTCTGCTTCTCTGAGCCCATCCAGATGTGGGGGGAGAGGCGTCCGTGCTCTTTGCTTGTTCATTCACAAACATTTAAAGAGAGCAGCTTGGCCCTAAGGGCTGGGGGTTCCAGGGTGCAGAGCCTGGTCCTTGCCCTCCTGAAGCTCAGAGTCCGACAGAGGAGACCATGCAGAAAGTTCCTGGTACAAATGCTGTGGCCCGAGAGGGCCGCTGAGCCCAGTGTTATGAGCCAGCCTGGAGCCGGACTGCAGGGTTCCGAATCCCACCTTCGCACTTAGTTCTGCGACCCCGGGCAAGCTACTCAACCTCTCTGTGCCTCTGTTTCCTCATCTGGGTCATGGAGACAAGAATAATATTGCCTCCTGGGGGTATTGTGAGGATTAAATGTGTTCGTGCACATTAGCTCTTAGAACAATGCCTGGAATGACCTGCACTGTGTAAGCGTCAGCTAATGTTGTCGGGATGACATAATTGTTTGCCCGATGTGGTCTCGTTGTACCCCCGGGGGCACACACAGCTTGGGTAAGTCAAGAAAAACTTGAAGGGGAAAATCCCTGAGAACTGAGGCAGAGGAGGGAGGGAAGGGCATTCTAGGCCGAGAGAACAGCTTGTGCAAAGTCACGGGGGCCGTGACAGGGCCTGGTACTCAGTGCTGGAAGGATTGCGTATGATGGAGAAGAAATGAGAACCCCGTAGTGGAAGGAGCAGGCCCGAGCCTGGGGATCCAGGCAGGGAGAGAGTGGCTTCGAGTTTCTTAGGAAAACGTGGGGCAAGAGGGAGGGAGTGAGTGAGTGTCCCTTGAGAGAGGGACGGAGAGACAGAGAGAGTGAGAGAATGGGTCAGCGCATCCTTCCCTGCCCTCAGAGCCCATCTAGGAAGTGGGTTTGGAAGTTGTCCAAGTGGACAGACTAGGTCATGAAGAGATGGGGTGTTGGCCGAATGACAGGGCTGCGCGCACCTGGCTCCCCCAGCAGCTGGGGGAATTAGCTCATGGCTGGCACAGCAATCTTCGTGGCAGCAACCGTGCGCCCAGAGCGAGCCAGGAGCGTGTTTGAACAGCAGTCCTTGTGTGCTGCGTGGGTCCCGAGCGCTGGCACGTTGCTGCTGCAGGAAGGCTGACGTGCCCCCGGGGGGTTGTCTTCTGCTTCAGGAATTTCGTGTTCCCCTGCAGCACCGGTGGCCTGCCTGGCGGGGCATGCCTGGGCCTGGTCCATTACCATCTGGCCCTGTTTTTCCAGATGCCTCAGGCCCCAGGTCTGGCAGCATCCTGTGGCTTCCCTCCTCGGGCTCTCTGCCTTTGCCACGTCCCCAGTGAGTGTCACTTTGTCTAGGGCTTACTGTAGACCAGGCACTGTTAAGGACTCGATACTTGTCACCTTATGTAATATTCAAAATGACCTGTGAGGTTGATGTTATTACCCTGGGCTGCGGCTTCGTGAGCCAGGGACCTGGGCAGCCCAGAGGGCCCTTGAAAATCTTTTTTTTTTTAAATTAATTAATTTTATTTATTTATTTATGGCTGCCTTGGGTCTTTGTTGCTGCGCACGGGCTTTCTCTAGTTGCAGCGAATGGGGGCTGCTCTTTGTTGCGGTACCCGGGCTTCTCATTGCAGTGGCTTCTCTTGTTGCGGAGCACGGGCTCTAGGCACGTGAGCTTCAGTAGCTGTGGCTCGCGGGCTCAGTAGTTGTGGCACACGGCTCAGTAGTTGTGGCACACAGCTCAGTAGTTGTGGTGCACGGGCTTAGTTGCTCCGCGGCATGTGGGATCTTCCCAGACCAGGGCTTGAACCCGTGTCCCCTGCACTGGCAGGCGGATTCTTAACTACTGTGCCACCAGGGAAGCCGGAAAATCTTTTTAGTTAGTACTTTTTAATGAGGCGCCCTGATTGCATTTTGCACCAGCCCCAGCAAATTACATAGCTGGTCCTGGTTCTTCCCACTTGTCAGGAGAAGACACAGAAGCACAGAGTGGTCATGAAGCCACATGCCCAAGATCACAGAACTGGGACCCTGGCTGACTGACCCCAAGGCCTATGCCCCCTGGAGTAGAAAGAGGCTGACCCGAGTCCCTCAACCTTCCCAGCCTCGATTTTGCCATTCTCGAAATGGGGTGACCCCTCCTGCTTCTTGGGGCAGCTCTGAGGCTGGAGAGAGAGGACATGCACACTCCCTAGAGCTCAGCTGATCAAGGATCAGCACCGCTGATTCTCAGCGCACTGGTGTTCCCGTCAGTGTTTCCAAGCCATCCTGACACCTTTGTGCAGGTCTTCTCTGAACTGATTTAGAAACCACTAATTAAAATAAGCTCCCCCACCCCCTGCCCCCTGCCCAGGAGGCAGCTACAAGAAGGCAGTCGTAGCTGTCCCCTCCACACCGCCCCCTACCCCGCGGCGCCGAAGGAAGACCCTTCCCAACAGGTCCTCCCTCTGCAGGCAGGGTGCAGGTGGCGGAAAGGGGGAGGGAGACAGACGTCCCAGAAGCTTCTGCTCACAAATCTCAGGGCTCATCTGCAACTAGATCCTCTCCAAAAAGCTTCGCTGCAAATAACCAGCGCTCCTGGTCAGTGGAGGACGCCCTGTAGGTTAACACCACCCCGGCACACTCCAAACAGACTCTGGCACCTCAGCAAAGAGGCAGGCGGCGCCTGGGAGGGGCCCCAGACTGCGGCTAATAGGTCTTTAGATTTGGAGAGATTCTTAAGAAGCCTGTGGGACGGTGAGGCTGCACAGAAGACCCCCATGAGAATACCCCAGATTTTCAGGGCATGCTAAGCCTGCAGAGGGTACATACAAACCTTAGTTGTGCCACTCCCCCAAACCTAGGAGGTTGGTATTATCACCCCCATTTTACAGGTGAGAAAACTGAGGCTCAGCAAGCCTGGCAGCACCTACGGCCGGACCATCTGATCCCAAGTCTAGTGTTTCTGTCTCAAGACCAGCGGTTCTCAACCCTGGTCATCTCAGGTCACTTGGGGAGCTTTAAAATATGCTAATGCCTAAGTCCGGCCACGGACTTACTGAATCAGGACCCCTGGGATGGCCATGGGAGTTGTGTTTGTGGAGGTTCCTCAGGGGATTCTCATGTGTGTGGCTGGAGACCAAGAGCTAGGTTTCTCTGCTGTTGGTTGGGGTGGAAGATTTCTTCTCATTACTGGGGCCAGGCTCAGAGCATCCCTCTGGTCAGATGCCACTGCAGGAAGGGGTTGTAGGAACCATCCGGAAAGACAGCAAGCTCAGCTCTTCTTGAGTAGCTCCAAGCCTCAGTGAGAGAGGAGCCCACAGTCTCCCTGGTGGCCCAGCCTGCCCACCATCGCCCCATGCTTGGTCCCCATCACCCCAGACAAGCAATCACAACTCTCAGTTTCAGCTTTTCTCCTCAGGCACACACAAATCAATAAAAATCTCTTCCTTCCCCGCCTTTTCCACACCAAGGGCGGCATCCTCTCCAGGCTGCGAATATATATTTTGTTTCATGTACGCTTTATCTTGGACATTGTTCCAGACTGATTCAGTCTTTTTCACGGCGGCACGCCCTCAGCACAGATTTTTAAAGCTCCCCCTGATAAGCCAAGGGCTCCTCTCCTTGGCCCGAGTCAAGTGTCTCCTACTCTGATGGCCCATCTCCACCTGCCAGACACCGTGGGATATGGAGGCTGGGAGCCCGGGGCCTAATTCTGGCTCAGAGCTACTCCTCTGCCTTGTGACTCCAAATTATGGGGCAAGGGCCTGGCTCACACCTCCTCCCTGGGGGTGGGAAGGCCAAAGCAGATCAGCAGACTGCAGCCCCCGCCGGGGAGGCGCTGCTGTGTGGGCCTTTTAGGTGAATGTGAGAACCGTCTTTTTAGAAGGTGAGTCACAGCCTCGCTCCATTTAACAATCTCCCTCAGCTGCTGCAGGTTTACTTGCTTCCTTCTCTGATGAGGTGAGAGATAAGGTGCTGTTCTTGGGGAAGGAAGCTGAGAGTGTGCAGGAGGACTTGCCCCAAAGGGCTGGAGCCTAGGACGGGGTTGTGGTGGATGGGGCGGGTCGGGCTCAGGGGGTGCCTGGACCCAAGGCTCACCTGCGTCTGCATGGGGACCCCCTCCGCCCCTCCAGACAGCCTGCGCTTAGAGAGGCCTGAGACCGGCTCTGTCCTTGCTAATCAGTGGGAGCTCTTGGGTGAGTCATTTAACCTCTGAGACTCAGGCTCCTCGTGTGTAAAATGGGGACAAAAAGAAGTAATTACAGACTTGCAGTGAGGAGTAAATGAGGTAATAGGGGTGGAAACGTTTCATACATGGCGAGACACTGCACCAAGTCCACACTTTTACGATTAACTTTTTTGCATGGACTTCGGCCATTGAAGTGGCCTCTCTTCCAGCCCTGAACTAGCAGTCAGCAGCCCCGTGCCTGAGCCGCTCTCAGCCTCAGTGTCGCCTTCTGAGGCCGCATCAAGGGGAGGGGTCAGCACTGACATCGTTCCAATCCCTCCTGCAGGCCTCACACCAGCCAGCAGCTTCTCCCCGCCTGCCCTTCCCTGTCCTGCATCCCCTCCAGTCTTCGATCTGCCTTCACCTCCAGCACTGACAGATATTCTTGGCAAAGCTGCCTCCAAAGATTCCTGCTAACGCTTGTCTGTTCCTGCCTCTTGCAAAGCGTGGCGCCCACGGCATCTTAAACCCAGATTGTCTGCAGCTGCTCCGGTGGACACTGCAGCTTCGCCGTCCTCCCTCTGGACTCCGGGAGCTGCGCCCGTCCTAGCGATGCCCTCGGGACCCTCGGCCCCAGCTGGGTGAGACCCTTCCAGAGCAGGACCCGACCTTGCCATCCACCAAGACTCCCACGGTGCCCTCCGCCACCTCCCATGTCTGGCTGCCCAGGCAGGTTCTAGAATGTCTGTGCCCCAGACCCGAGGAGACGCGGCCAGTGGGGAAGAAGGGCCGGCAGGCGCAGCCCCGCCTCCCGATGACCACCTCCGGACCCTGAAGGCCCTCACGGAGAAACTGAGGCTGGAGACCCGCAGGCCCTCCTACCTGGAATGGCAGGCCGGGCTGGAGGAGCAGATGTGGCCCCTCCCGAGGCCAGTGGCCGGGCAGCGGGGCCGCGTGGGAGAGGGGCCCTCGCGCCCCCCAGGAGCGCCCAGGCGGCACCCTCAGTCTCATGGGATGGCCAGCCAGGACGATGGGGCCCCATGCACTGGCAGGTTGGAGGGCTTCGAGAGCATCGACGAAGCTATAGCCTGGCTCAGGAAGGAACTGGTGAGTAAGTGGCTGTCCCTCCAGGAAGCCCCAGAAAAGATGCCATTCTCTCTCTGTCTCTGTCTCCACCCCTCTGTCCCTCCCCCATCTCTCCCCCTCCCAACGGCACATTTTCCTGTTTAGTCAAGGGTGGGCCTCATTACTGTGTGGATATATGTGGTCCATGTGCCCATCAGCCCCCAACCACAGGTCCTTGTGGAGAGCCTGAGCCTGTGTTTTTTATTTTTAGTCTTTTGGCCACGCTTTGCAGCATGTGGGATCTTAGTACCCCGACCAGGGATGGAAGCCTCACTCCCTGCATTGGAAGTGTGGAGTCTTAACCACTGGACTGCCAGGGAAGTCCCCCTGAGCCTGTGTTTTGAAGGTGTCCCCAGCACCACTCCTGGCATCAGAGTCCCATACACTCCTTCCTGGATTGTGACTGCCCCTCTTCCTCTCTGAATCCCTGTCACCCTGCCACCTGCCCAAGCTGCTGGCCGCTCCTGTGGCCCTTTATTCAGCAGCCACCCCCTGCCCCACGGCGCTGCTCTGGGCAGCGGGGCCGCGTGAGGCAAGCACAGGGCAGCGCGGGCGCTGCTGTAAGTAGCTCGGGCTCAGCCCAGCAGCACTCTGCCCACATTGACGGGTGTACAGGGAGCTGCCCAGGGGCAGCGTGGCTGATCAGGCCTGGCGGGGGTGAAGGCTTTGGGCTGAGGCTCGGAGGCTGAGTAGGAAACTGCCCAGAGGTCAGAGCTGGGAGGGCATCCAGGTGGAGTAAGTGTGAGCATTGGGCGTGCGTTGGGAGCTGGGGCCAGCAGCTCGACCTTTTTTCTGCCCACGGGCGAGGCAGGTTCCCATCAGGGGCGTCGCTCAGCACATGAGAAGGGGGTTGGCGTGCAGAGCTGTGCGCCCGTCGCCCAGGGGAGAAACACTGGTCCTGGGCATGGTGGTGTCTCAGCAGAGCCAGGTGTGATGCTAATCGTGTGCTTTCAACTCCTGCCCCACCCAGCCCCATCACCTGCGGCCCAGGTCACAGCTGCCCAGTCGGGCCACTCTGGCCACAGGTGAGCCAGGAACCAAGGGCCAACCGCCTTCCAGAGCCTCCAGTAACTCCTGGTCCCACAGGGTAGGCAGAGGCCTGCCTGGTTTGCTGGGCAGAAGCCTGAAAAATAAATCCCCTTTGGGGCCTGGAATTCCTTGTGAGTTAAGGTAAAGAACTGGGGCCAGGAGGGCTCAGGGACTCAAGTATCTGATTAATCAGACATCTTTTTTGGTTTTAATCTTTGATGTTGAGACTGTTTCTCAAAACACGTCTCCACTGTGTCTGTCCTGGTAACTGGAGTGTTAGTTGCTTGCAGAGAAGACGTGGCCGCTGGGGATTCGCACTGCGTCTCCAGACTCCCCATCACCACTGGGTGGTCTCCAGACTCCCCATCGCCACTGGGTGCTCTCGGGGCATGTAAGAGGTGAGGACGGATGGACACGAAGCTGCTCTTTAAATCCTTGAGGCTGCACTGCTTTGATTTGTTTTCATAAAGAGGAACAAAAAAATAGTCCCATCAATCAAGGATTCAATTTGTTGGCTTTGGGTTCATTTGAGGTTTGATTGCTTCTGGGAGTGGAGGCTTTTACTTTCTAAGTAAGTTAGCATCCCGCATGGGTCCCTGTTGGGGGTGGAAATCAGAGAAGGGGTTTCCTGGGTGTGAACCAGTAGGGCATTCTCTCAAGTTGTCCCCTAGGTCCGCTGGATGAGAGCCGCCTCTCAACCCTGGCTTATGTTACACTTACCTGGGAAGCCTTGAAACCCCCAAATCCTAGACCACACCCCAGACCAGTCAAACCAACATCTGGGGGTGGGCCCTGGGCGTCAGTAGTTTTTCAAGCTATTCTCAAAGTACAGCCTGGGTTGAGAACCACTGCCATAGACCTACAGGCCATGCTCATTTTTCTTGCCAAGCCCATTGCAAGCCAAGCAGCACAACGTGCCCCAGCCGGAGTGCACTGGCTGAGGGGAGGAAGGTGGACCAGGCCAAGGGCATCCAGGGGTGACATATGGAGTCATACTCCACAGGCAGGGAGAGGAGCGTTAATCGTTAGGACTAATGTGGCTGTCTAAGGCTGTTGTAGATAAGTACAGTGAACATCGGCATTATTAATAATGCTTTATATTTGCGTATTTTCCCCCTTTCCATGCCACTTCTCTGTGCTACCAAAGGTGGGTAATAAGCATAATAATAATAATATCAAGATTTGTTACCAATTGAGTGACTACTGTGTGCCAGGTGTTTCACATGCATGACTTACCTCTTCTGAGTGTCACATCACCTTCCTGTTGCCCCATTTTACAGAAGAGGAAACTGAGGCTCAGAGGGGAATGTAGCAATAATTGAGAGCGTAGAAATTTGACCAGTGGCCTGTCTGGTTGCCTCGCCCAGGCTCTTCTTAGCCACTGTACTACATAGTGTCTTCCAAAGGCAGTTGATTTTGTTCCGTGACTTCACAAAGATGTTGGCAGTCAATAGGTGGGGCAGAGGGAGAAACAAAATTGAGAGTCCAGCCCTCACGCTGTGGTCTCTTTTGTTCCTACAGCAGACCTGTGCGATTGCTGTTATGTCTCCATTATACAGATGAGTAAACTGAGGCTCGTAGAGTCAGACGACCTGCCTAGAATTATATGACTAGTAAGTGGTGAACTCAGCCTTCACCAGTGAGAGTAGAGCTTTGGGGAGAGAGGTAGGTGGTGAGAGGTGTCCCTCCCACAGGGCCCCATCGGGCAGGCCTCCTCCAGCTGCAGGTAGAGAAACTCTCAGAGCAAAGACTCTCCAACTCTAATGGGAAGATTCTGATCTTGTTAAAATGAAGATTCTGATCCTACAGGTCTGGGATGGGGTCCATGATTCCAAATTTCCAACAAGCGCCAAGGTAGTGCTTGCTGTACTGCTGGTCCACAGACCACACTTTGAGAATCAAGGACTGAAAGGCAGGCAAGACTGGGGTCAGAGAACCAAGAAGGGACCTCAGAGGGAACCCCCAAGTGTCGCCAAGCCTGTGCCCTAAACCCTGTCCCTGCTGTAACCGTCCTTTGGGCTTGGGCTCAGCCAGTGGGCTCCGGGGATGAAGCCACATCATCCCACACCGAATGGTCCAAGAGCTGAATTAGTTCAGAAGACTTTAAGTCTGAGGTCAGAGCAGCCCAAATGCAGACCAGCAGGCAGGCCAACTGAAATGTGCAGTTCTGCCCGCTTCTGAGATTAAAGAGTAACAAAGGCAACCTATAAAATCCTTTGACTGACTTGAAAACAGAGTTGAACATTTGATCAACACGCCCACGCTCCTGTTTTAACTCTCAGTCAAAACATTAAACTTCACGTCATTGTTTTCCCTAATTCATCACCTGTTAACTCATTGAAGGTGTCGTTAAAAATTAACCTGTTTTTTTAAAAATAGTGATTTCAAAAGTGGTTTCAAATAACCTTTGTTTTATTTTAAGCCCAGAGTCAAGTTTTCTCTATACCCGGGCAGGCTCTCTCTATTGATTTATCAGACCCGTGTGCAAATTTGTCTTTTCTCTTGATGTGGCCAAGGAAACATGAAAAATCTGTAATTCAGTCAGCTGTGTAGCTGTTTGCCCCACATGATGCCAAACTCAATTGGCTGGGAGTTCGGGCTCAGTCGTGGGTTTGTGCCCTGAACGGGTCTCTGACCATCAAGAGCTTATACCGGAGCAGTTGATGAAACCAGCGAGGTTCTTGTTGTCAATGCTGACCCTCCTAGAGGCAGGCGATGTCGGGTCTGGAAGCATGGGTGGTCCAACCCTATCTCCTAGGAGGTTAGCTCAAAGGCAGAGAGCGACTGCCTGAATCTTGGCTTATTCCCAAGGCCAGAGAAGGTCCTAGCAGCTCCCTCAGGGTCCAGCCTTCCTCTCAGCTTTCACTGCACGGAAAGTGCATTCGCTCCTGACACCCCCAGGGACCTGCAAGTAGAGGGTTTTCCTTCAGAGTGACATGTTGGGGGTACAAGGAAGGTGGGAATCCTTAAGCCCTGTTGTCACTGCTCCTCCAGCCAGGAAGGCTTGACCTTCAGCTCCCTGTGTATTCAGGAAAGGTGTCACCATCCGGCTATGGCAGGCAGGGCTGCCGCCTCTGTGCCTGGCAGCTTCGGGCCACCTGACTCCCCAGGCTGAAACCCAGCATCGTTTACTGGGGAGACCGACTCAGAGCCTAGTGAAGTGGCCCTCTGCAACTCTGCTTGATCCAGGCTGCTCCCGCTGCCAGAGGCCACAGCCTCCAGCTTTCTACCTTCATGGTGGCCTCACTAGGTCCAAGTGGCCTGGAGTGGGGCTGGGGCAATGCTTCAGGAAGGGGTGAGCTAGAAAGGACGTGGCCCTGAAGCTGTGGGTCTCAGCCTTCTATCTGAGCCTGAAATTCAGAACATGTCACAAACCTCTGATTGCGTTTGGCCCCAGAGCTTGCAGCCCAAGAGGAAAAGGGACACTCCCTTCTGCCTCTCTCTTTAGTCCTGCTAAAATGCTCCCGTTGCCAACCTGAAGGATAAAGAAAAGGGAGAAATCATCTACTTGGCCTGTGCGGTGCCAAAACTAAAACCAAAACAAAACAGTCCAGCTTCCTAAGGCGTTGTCTTTGTGGCGAGAATCCCTGGGCGTCAACAGATATTTTTCTTTTAGCCTCATGCAGGTGTTTGATCCCCACAGACAGAGCCCCCCACCAAAAAGGTGTTTATGGTTGTTAGAAAAAGGGTAAGGAAACCTGACAAGTTTTAATTATTCTAAGGCCTGCCATAACAGGAGGCCCGTAGCCCTGGACCCAGCTGGCCTCTCCGGGTTAACCCTCTCTTGCCTGTACTGCCCACTTGACAAGCACGTGACTGGTGTGTCCAAGCACAGCCCTCTGAGGCCAGTGTTATCCACTGCTACTGAATGATAGTGGCCAGATGACAGTTCAAGCTCACTGAGCATCTTCTGATGGGGATAGAGGTGAGAGGCGTGAAGGTGATAGCCATGT